TGCAGAAATTCGTGTGTTTTTGTGATATTTATGAACAGAAACAAATGACTGTCGGTACATTCAGTCCACATACGCAGAGATTCTAACCAGTGCAAAACCGGCACCGTAACCCAGGGTAATAAGTTACGGTTACTGTAATCCGTGGTCACCACAAGAGAACGGGTTACAAATTACTAGATACAAACTGAAAAGGGACCGGCGAGAAATTTGATACTGTAAGCTGTAAGTACTCAACATGATTGTGAGACAGTTAACGCGGTTAAAGTAAGTAGGTTACATATGTGTTCACTGATTTTGACGAGATATATGTCATTAAATTCGTTTTGTTGAGTACATTACGAATATGTACATCATTACTTGCGGAAATGCATTTTTTTCATGTAAAATTGACCGTAAAGTTTCAATAAAAAAGTGAGGTTAAGTACACTTCGACACATCTATGAGTAGAAATATTATTTTATTACATTAAAAGTATTGGTCAAACTTCGTCTAAGGGACCAAAAATTAACGGGTCCAAAATATGTGTTCTTGTAGTTTTTTACCTGAAAAGTCTAAAAATGCAAGTTAAAAGTTTAGGAAACCAATCCCTAGAATCCCTATTTTCAATGGGGTACTAAAAATACTTTACCATTCTCTTCCTCTATTCCCCAAACACCCTACAACAAAATGTCCTTTTTGATACTTTATTCTTTTGGACTCGTTGATTTTAACAATTTTTTCTTCACCATCTATTATTTTGCAGGAGTGACATAACCACTCTGTCATCACTTGCCGTACAAAATATGATCATTGTGACACTGTATTTTTATTTAATTTTAATTCTCTAATAATATAATGTTGTTTGTAATTGTACACAAGTATATACGTTAATTTTAGTACCATTACATAATTCATTTTTGTTTTTGAAAATCATGTTTCTTTTTTTATTGATATTTTAACGTTACAAACATTTTTTCTTTTAATGGGATTAGCAATGGCTGGGATAGTCAGTCTGCAGTTCAAATATTTATCTACTAATTTCATTAAATTTCCACATTGTGGACAGTTCATTTCTGTTTTAATTAGCTCTTTATTCTGCAGGAATTTTAATGACGAATCTTGATCGTTGCAAAATTTATGAATATTGATCAAATTCCATGTTTTTGGAATTATACATATACTCATTTTAATTACAAAATGCACTAAAATCTGTAAATTATTAAAAATAGAAGAAAATCTGAACTTACAGTTTGAAACAAAAGAAAGACACATTTTTCATTTGTTAATTATTTGAATTTCACTTTTCAAATTCCTGCAGAATAAAATATTAATAAAGTAAGAAATGAATTGTCCACAATACACATTGCAATGCTACAAAAATGAAAAATGAACACAGAATCTCTTGTACTTGTTGAAAGTAGAGATACTAATATTGCTATCATCAAAGTACTAATAATTTTAAATGAAATATTACTGCCAGCTGGCTGGCCATTATTATAACCTAACCTAACTTCATTTTTTATTGAAAGTTTATAATAAATTTCACACGAAAAACAAATTTCCGCAAATAATGATGTATATATTCGTAATGTACTCAACAAGATGAATCCAACGATATATAACATGTTAAAATCGGTGAACGGTCCATTTGCTAGAAATATACAGACAATTGCACTTAACATAATAAATATAATCAAGTAACGTAACATTGAAGAAAACGTTCTTAATAGAATTATGAAATATATTATTACATATACATATACATAGGGATACATACACATATATAACAAAATTATTAGATTATTAAATACTAAACATAAATATTACATTAAGATACCATAAATATTATAATCTTCCAGAACTAAAGTTCATTTGTTCGTATAATCATATCATCTATAATATCATGATTTAAGCAAGATCGTTGGTCATTTAATATAAATTTCAATTCTGAAAACAAGCGTTCTACTGACACTTAAGTAGCTGGCACAGCGTATACAATTTGCGAAAGAATAAATAAATCAGGATAGGTATATTTTTCATGTTCCCAGTATTGCAAGAGACTTGTGCTTCTTTCTATTCTTGGGATTTTTGAAAAAGTATTTAGAGAATGCGTAATAAAAGCTGAATGAATTGCATCTTCTTTTAATTCTTTGTCTGCCTCAAATATCAGTTTGTCCATGTCACCAATATCTTTATTTTCAACAGAAACACTGACACCAGACGTTGAAGTAGAAGTATCTAATGTTTTTAATTGATAGGTTGTTTTACAATATTCCCATATGTTTACTAAATGTATTGTGACAATTTCTTTCTGTGCTTTTGACAATTAATTTTTATATCTTGGATCAAGAAAAACCAATACCAATAAAGAATCATTCTCCAGAAGCATTTTCTCTAGCGAATTAATTGCATTTATTAGCATTGTTGCATAATCATTTTTAATTTTTGTTATGTTCAATTTTAATTTGATCCATAATGCGTAAATGTAATCTCTTTGTAGCAATTTTTGCGGGTTTTAAAATACATACTAATTCTTGTACGCTGGTCCATTCTTTATCTTCTAAACCGATTTCATTAATTCTGTTGCACAATTCTTTTAATTCCAAAAATTGTTCCAATATATTAAATGTTGAATTCCACCTTGTAACACAATCTAAAACTGGTTTGTTCAATTTCATTGTTTTTAAAGTGATCAACTATGAAGATATTCGAAACTTTTTTACTAAGAGACGAATTTTTTGCATAATACTGTCTATTGCACTCTCTTTAAGAACATCATTAATGGCCAGTTGAAGTATTGATGTAAATTGATGTATTTTGAAGTTATTGTGTTCTATTGCAAATAAATTTTCTCCTTCTAAATATTCTTCAGTTTCGATCCGCGTGCGTTTCTCGTCATGTTAGTGCTTTTACCACGGCTTCTTTCTCGTTCTCTTTTCCATTTTCTTCCTGTTTCTTACACTCTTCACTTTCTTCCTCGTAGGGAGTCAAGATCTCCCCCTTCTCGGCTTCTACTTCAGGAACCAATACAGGCGGGAGAGGCGTGGATGCCCTCGCCATACCCAGCTGTTCTTTAAGTCGCTGCGACTGTTGTTTGCTTTCCTCGATTAATTCGTCAAAAGTTTTTTCTGGTTGTCTCATTGTCAGTCCCAATTCCTCCTGTTTCTTTTTTTCTTCTTCAATAGATTAGAATAGACCAATTTCTGTCTTCTTGCCTGTACCTTCCTGTGTACCTTCTTAGGCACCATTAGCTGAAAGTGGGGGCCGTCGGCCCACCAGTCTTCCGCATGGTCCATCAACTTGGCTGTGCGGTTTCTCTCAATGGAGATTCTCATCTTTTGCTTCATGGGTTGTAGTAAATTCCTTTCACTTATCAAGTTAATCAGATCTTCCAAGAGCTCGTCGTCCGTCTTATTCCTCAAAGTCTCAAGAAACTGATAATTTTCTCCCCTAATCTTATCTCTGGTTCCTCTAACCCCATTCCTCTTCGCGATGGTTATAATTTGTTCGGTACATTGTTGGACGATCAGTTCTGTCATTCGGTTCGAGTCTTTCTCTGTCATGTGGGACTCTTTCCAGCGTTTTGACTCTATTTTCTCTACGATCGGTCTTGTTTCCAAACCTCACATCTCTTTCCCAATTCCTTTTTACAACTGGACGTTCTCTTCCATTTTCCTCGGTTTCGAAGGATCCTCTCCTTCCTCCATATTTTCGGCGTCTTACTTCTTCCCACTCATTCACAGTACCCCTTTTCGTGGGGACGTTTAATCTCTCCCAGGTTTCGGGTCTCCCTCTGCGTGTTTCTTTCAACGCTGGAAATTCCTTATAATCGTTAATATCTGATTCAAATCTTCTGCCAACATATCTATCTCTTATCATCTGCTTAGCCTGAGTGTATGACACATTCCTGTAGGCCATAGTTTTTTTGATTTCGTGCTCCTGTGGGAACACGACGCATTTTCTAGCGTTTGACCTATGTTGGTCTCCACAATTTACGCATTTACCTCTCTTAAGGGCACAGACTCCTTCGAGGCCTCCTCCGAATCGATGTAAGCGCCATTGGAAAGAATCGGGTAATCGTGGAAACACATAATTGAGAAATTCGACATTTGACGGTGCGACATCTAACGTCATTATACAGAATAAGAAACGAAAGTGAGGTGGCGTAGTTGTCAAATCACATCCTTTTAGAGATTCTTTCGCGGTGTTGCCACATCTGTGACAATCCTGACCATCTAGTAAAATAAATTCGCTCGAGCCGAATTCGTCCGCCTTTAATTCCAGGCGGACATAGAAAAGGACAGCGCGATAGAAAGAGAAAGAGCATCATGAATGAAACAACGTAGGGCCGATCGGCGGAAATGTATATGTCACACGCCACGGCAGATTCGATGAATGCACATAACGTACGCGATTATAAAACTTATACGAATAAAAACTACATTGCATTAATAATTTCAGAAAAGGAATGAACAATAAAGACATGTAAATTGATCTATATACACAATATTTATTCATTCAAATATAATAATTTCAGAATAGGACAGAAAAATAAAGACATGTAAATTAATCTATATATACAATATTTATTCATTGAAATATACAGTAATGTCTCTCACATTGCCCATACTGACGGACGCCTCACATTGCCCCTACGCTGTTTCTACGCTTATGTATACGTCGCTTCTGCGCCTATGTTTACTCGATGGAAGTCAGTCAAGCGTGTGATGTATGTAATGTGACACGCGACGCGGTCCTTTTGATTTTTACGATTAAAATGAGTCCAAACGCGATATAATTCGGACTAAATTTATTTATTAAGGCTTATTAAATAACTCACATGTGTATGAATATGTTTATACTATCAAAATTCATTATAATTTTAGAAAAAGACTGCCAGATCCTCGGTAATCGCTTTTCATCCCTCGGTTGCTCTCTTCGCTAAAAAGAAACAATATAAATACTACAATTATTTTCAGTATTTAAGACTTAGATTCGAAATTACTAATGTATATGTAAATATGTTGTCACTTACTTTTTATTCATTATTCTTTGTTTAAGAAAAATATCTTCAGGCTCTGTACCGCATATTGTATATGTAGTGGTGCTCTGTCACTATGAACACTTAAGCGACTAAATATGTCGCGTAAATCGTCAATTGTATCGTTGTCCTCCTCGAACATCGTTTCGGGTGGTTCCTCCTGGGGTTCGTTTAAAACATCTTCATGTTCCTCCTGGTCTGCACTTTTATCTTCTAATTCCTGGCAGGTGGATAAAAAATCTGCAACCTGTTGTTCTGAACAGTCTTCTCCCGTAATGGCACTTATCATGTCCTGCCAATCAGATTCTAATGGTGGAGGTTGGACAGCAGCAACAGGTCCAAGAATTTGATTCCACGCATTTCTTAAATTTGTTTGCGTTATTGCTGACCATGCTTGAGTAAAAATATCAATACAATTTTTTAAAGTATATTCTTTATAAAATTCTTGTACTCCACCATCATATGTTAACACGCGTTGGAGTAGTTTATGGCGGAAAGCTCGTTTAGTTTTTTCTATAACTCCCTGATCCATTGGTTGGATCAAGGATGTTGTATTGGGTGGTAAAAATATTATTTCAAACTTCTCGTCTTTTAAATTTTCTGCTGGTAATTTATGCGCTTCGCAATTGTCAACAAATAATATGACCTTTCCTGTTATACCTCGTTCCTCTTGAAATTGGTTTACGGAGGGCTTAAAATGATTTTCAAACCAATCTGAAAATAATGATCTGCTCATCCACGCATTGGGTTGTGATTTGAAAATCACGGGCAAAGAGACCTCGTGTCTTAAAGCCCTTGGGTTTTTATATTTATAGATTACAAGCGGCATCATTTTGTGTGTGCCCAGTGCATTTGCACATAGTGCAATTGTAATCCTATCTTTTTTAATTTTATATCCGCTGATACGGCTTTCTTCCTCTCCTGCCAACGTTTTCGTTGGTAGCGCCTTCCATACCAATGCACTTTCGTCCATGTTGTATACGTTCTCCAAATTTATATCGTCATCGTTCATTAGTTGTTTAAAATTGTTTATAAATGTTGTTGCTCCATCTTTGTCAGCACTCGCCTTCTCTCCATACAAGCGTACCAAATGTATGCCATGACGTTTTTTGAATTTCGATAGCCATCCACGGCTTAGTTTGAAACGCGAACATGATGGCAAATTTTCTTTTAAATCACTGGCTTTCTCCAATAGCAACGCGTCCGTTAAACGATCGCCAATGGTCCTCCGTTCAATAAACCATGCTAAAAGGCATTTGTCCAATTCATCGTATACCGGATCTATTAATTTCCGTCGCTGTCTTTCACGCTTAGTTTTATCTGCAAAACTACTAATTTGTATTCTATTCTTCTTAATTCGACGAATTGTTTTGGCGTCGACACCATACTTTTTTCCAATTTCCGATACTGTGAGTCCCGTATCTTGCAGATCTTTTAAAACGTCCAAGCGTTGTTGCATATTCAAAACTGTATATTTCTTTCTAGTTGCCATGATGTTCACACAAAACTATTGCTAATATCTTATCACCGAAATATCACTACTGTCACAAAAGTGTACCAATACAACTAAATTAACACTAATTTGTCACTAAAGTGTACCAATACAACTAAAATATCACTTGCTGTGAAACACTTTAACTGCACGAACTGCTCACGATAAATTGCGGCGACTATACGAGGATTCTTTGGCGATTTTCTTAATTCTGCTGAGTTTCCGTAAAATCGCTCTCCACGAAAACTTTAAAAAGGTAGGGGGATGGGTATGTTGTTGGGGGTAAACACGCAGATTGGTAAATTTGGAATTCCTACGAACTAGAGAGGTGGTGAAAAAAGAAGTAATTGCCTGCAAAAAATGTGGTAGGGGTTGAAGAAAATTTACCCTTATCCTCCGGTTACCTTCAGGTAACGGTCAAGGTGCAGTGTCCGGTGCGAAGTCGAAGGTTGCTGGGTCATAAAGTCATAAATCGCACTGGTCGAGGAAAAATATTCTAGCTTATAGAAAATATTCCTTGCTATTTTACTCATCTGGGATGCAGCTGAAAGAGAGTTAGCACGTGACTAAGGGACAATATTAAAAGTACACTACGGGCCTCCTTTGCACGGTAGATGCGCGCCGTGTAAAAAGGATCGTGTAAAATTTATGAGAGAAAGTATGCATATCCTTTATTTTCAGGATGGTTTTTAGGGTCGTAGCGCTTCTTCAGTTTATGTATTGCCCATTATGGTCAATGAGGGGTACCCCCTATATATATTCAAAAATGATAGGAAAGTTGTTAACAATAAAAAAAGGCATTGGAATAGTCGCTAAGACTCCAAAAATGTCAGACTGCTTGCCTTTTCTAACATTCCCATACCTCCTTTTAAACAGGCAATCGTATATCACCTGATAGCTGCATGACTTCGGGTCACCAGCCATCGACCCTAAAACGTAGGCTGTACCACCACATTGCCCCTGAAACGTAGGCTGTACCACCGCATTGCCCCTGAAACGTAGGCTGTACCCCCGCATTGTCCCTAAAACGTTGGCTGTACCACCACATTGCCCCTGAAACGTAGACTGTACCACCGCATTGTTCCTAGAACGTAGGCTGTACCACCGCATTGTCCCTCGAATGTAAGCTTTTTCCACATTATCCAGACACAAGTTACGTATTCAACAGATAATGTGTACAAATATTTTGTGTATTTTTTCTAGAAATCCGCTTTTGTAATTCGTTTAAAGCGATGATGAAATGAATTACCTAATAGATATTAATAAGTAAACGTGTTCCAAATTATATTGTGTTTGATCTCATTTTAATCGCAAAAATCTCACCAATATGATAAAAGTAATTGCATATTGAAAAAGTTAAAAATAAAAAAGTTTATATGTAGTACTGGTTTTTAAATCTTTCATTTGCCCGACTCTAATTCTATCTTTCTCTTTTATTCGCTGTCCTTTTCTTTGTTCGGCAAACTACAAAGGCGAGCTGCGAGGCTGGAAAAACGATTCTAGTCTTCCCAAGTTGCCCACTTTCGATTCCTACCTAACGGGCAATGTGAGAGAGATTACTGTAATCAGTAAATATAAACAATGATTGGCCGTCGCCCGCCGCCTGCTTCGGCCTCTTCTTTCTCCACGGCGTCTGCATCATCGGAAATTGTTTGTTACGGAAATTGTTTTTATCTGAAATACAATAATGAATGTTTCATAAGAAGAAAAAACAATCGTAGGAATTCAATGGCTACTGTTGTAGACATAATTTCCATGTCACGAAAAATCTAATTCCGCCACATTTATTCCATAGAAGAATCAACACTTTTACTTACTTGCGACGTCGACGGCCTCGAATTCTTCTTTCTCTTTTCTTGTCGTTAGACCTCTTTCTCCTGTTTCTTCTATCCCCTTTCTTTTCTTCCTCTTTTTCCTTGTCCATCTATGAAGAAAGTAATTTATGTATAGATAACGTAATAATAATTATGTAAGATTATACTTGCGGATTATACGTCATCAGGCAGCATATTTGCAGTTCATTTGCCCTGGTAACGCTTTCTTGAATATATCTATATATAATTTTTTAATTTTTTTCGAGAAGAGGGAAATGCTGTCTTCAATTTCTGAACGACAAAAATGTTCATGCAAAGATGAACGAAGATGAATGAAAGATAAATATTGAAAAAAGGAAAAGTTAATGGAAATAGATGATTAAATAAATTCCTTTTAACGTTTTTTGTCGGATTTTGCTCAAATTAAGATATGTTGTATCTAATGTACTCTATCGACTCTAATGTACTTTAACCCTTTTCGGGTCCAGATACAAAATAAGCAATATTTCCTACCTGTAACATGTAATTGTCCTTGTACCTGGTAGTAATAATAGTGGTTCCTGTTCAATGCATTTCCTTCTGCATTTGCAAATATGCGCCGAATAATTGCAACACTTTTGATTGCTTCCTCCGGCAATAAGTTCTCCGCCGTTTTCGGACATTTTATTTCCACAATGCCCTCTTCGTCTACAAGTCCATCTGGCGAAGCTCCTAAGAACGGGATGGCACTATCAATAAATAAGCCACATTCTTTAATTTCAACACCAATGCACGCACTTAGTTCTTCACGTGCGAATTTTTCGCATTCTTGTCCATATTGTACTGCACGTGCACTAATCAGTCGTGGATACACAAACGACTTCACTGAATTTGCACAGAACGTGCCAATTCGACGACGGCATATTCGTCCAAAATTAGAGGCCGTCAATAATTTAGATTTATAATTCAACCATCTCGGATTTTTTGCTTGACCGATGGTTTCTTCCTCAATGGCATCTCTACTATTTTGCCAATTCTGCAACATTTCCATATGTTTTGTTTGCTCTAATTCATAAATATTGTTAGCCATATCCGGCTTTTCAGCGTTTGGTTCGTAATTGGAATCCTTTTCAGAACGGAATTGTTTCCGTACGTGCTTCGTAATTTTTTGTTCTTTTCTCTTTTCACTGTATTTCTCATTTTCTTTCTTCCTTCTATTTTCTATTTTGCGTAAAATAACGGGCGGTTTCTTGTTCATCGCCGTATTCAGACGCGACAACACTTGTTTTGTGTTATACTGCAGGACAGCAGCAGCACATCTTCCCGTGTAAGATCCTCTCTCGCCGAAATTCAATCTTTTTCCTCCTGTATATTTTGCGATGATTCCGTTGAAACTTTCGACGACTGTTGCTGTTATACAGCAAACTCTCAGCATGCGCCAACAGAGGTCAAAGTATTTCTTTGATGTGTTCGTACACTCCCATCTTTATTAATTCGGGAACAATGTTCTTTTCATCTTTTTTACTCGTTCCATCGCAGAAGTACTGCAGTT